CCAAACAAACAGCCGATCTGGCGCCCCGGAAGGTGTGGGTTTTATTTGGGCCAAGCGCGGTGGCGAAAGGGGAGCAGCAGGAGCTCTGCGGGGACCCCTGGCTTCTGAAAGAGGGCCCCGAGGTGCCCTTTTCTGAGCTTTCCGAAGAAGTTTCGTTAGCTTTCTTAAGCTGGCAGCCTCGATCCCAAGCAGGCTTACTCGGAAGTCAGACTGCTGGGTTTAAATGAGGCACGCAGCAGCGAGTCTCGACTCCTACAACGGTCCCCGTGAACGTGTGCGTAAAAGCGCAGAGCGGTTCCAAGTCCTTCCAATACGATTGACTTCACAGAGTGATCTTGGCCGTTTTAATCTTAAACTCAATCCCAGGAGGAGTTGCCGGAGGGCGGCAGGTTTAAATCTGATTTGCCTGAATTTATGCCCCGCTTTTCGTGCCTGCTTAGAACTAAACCCCATGCAGCTTGGCCGTTCAATCGGAACTCCAAATCCAGTCGCACCAGCCGCCGAATCCGAAGTGTATGTGAATGAGAAGGAGTTCAGGCACGCAGTGCAATCCTCAATAGGCTTACTCCGAAGTAAGCCTCCTTGAACCCAACGGTAGAGACGCAGATCTTTATTTATTTACAAACCTGGGAAGCGCATTCGGGGACTTTTTAAAATCCGTCCAAGTTAGTGCCTAACATTCCAGTTTAGGATACCAAATTCAGTGTTGATTTTTTTGGGTGTGTGTGTGTTATTTTTAAAGATCTGCGACAGGCAGCTATTATTTTTTGCCACTCGCCCAGACCCCCTTTTTCCCTGGAGTTAAGTGGCGGCGGCTGGTTGACGCCGGGAAGCAAGAGAACAAAACTTGGGTCCCTCTCTTTCCTGAGACATCGTAAACTCTATAAATCATTATCTTTTTTTAAAAAAAATGGAGAAAAGGAGGTCGCCAGTAGGCGTAACATCAAAGTCAGAGGGGGGTGACTCCCGAGGAGGGCTGCTCATTGAGAACCGGTTCCCTAGACCCCAAAGAAAGCTCACGGATCTCCAGAAGCCGATTGTAGCGTCGCCACCCCGGCCATAAACAGCACTGCTTTGCAAAAAGTGGAAACACGCCGGATTATCTCAGACTGCGATCCTGTACTATCTTGCCTTGAATACAAAAGCGAAGAGAGACGTTCAATACGTTAAATTGCAATTTAGAGCCCTGACACAACTTCCAGATTCAGGAGCCAGTCCTAGGGCACCTTAAAGGAGTAAATTCGATTGTCAGTCCCCAGAAGAGTAGACCCATTGTCTCAACCAGGTTCATCCATTCAACAGATCTACTTTAACTGGGGCTTGGATCTAGATGGATATAGTCCTAATAATAACCTTTCTGACTTGTGGTGACCTTTTCAAGGGTTTTCTGGGCAGAGTGTACTGAGAAATGGTTTATCATTCTGTTCTTCTGAGGGCATCCTGGAACTGTGCAGGTTGCCCAAGGCCACATAGGCTGGCTGTACACACAGGAGGCACAGTAGTGAATTGAACTTCCAACCTCTGGCTCCAGACAGAAACCTAATTCACCAAGCTGTCCAGCCAAGATAAGAGCTCTTGCTGATGGATTATTATTGGACACTAGCTTTGCTAAAACTGTAGTCCACGGGACCCCTGTGTGGCAGGAGACTGATTAAGCCACCACTGCTTGGAAACAGTGAGAAGTCAGCCCTTTTAAAAGTGAGATGATGGGGAAGAACAGATCTTCCCCACCAATCCTCTCTGCTTTGTCTATTAGGTTGAAATCTTGTTTCGATGGCGTGGGAGTCCAACCAAGTGAGGTGGTGGGGAAGAACAGATCTTCTCCTCAATCTGTTACCAAAGGCGGAGGGACCCACCAATTCTCTCTGCTTTGTCTGTTAGGTTGGTGGTTTTGTGTGTAGTTTTGTTTTGTTTTGTTTGTGTTTGTGTTTGTACTCAAGTCCTGCAAGGTCAATGGTTTCTTTAAGTCACACCACCAACTTCACTGGTTGTATTGGGATCCTACAACACCTATTAACTGTAGTAAGCAGAGAAAGTCTTTAAAAACCCTTTGGATTCTGAAGAATCATCTGGTTTCTATGGCAGGATTCAGCCTTGAGGGATAGCCTCTCTTCCCCCTTATAGAGAGAAATAACCACAACTATCTTATATATCACTAGAACTGTTGCTGTTATTTTTAATTCCCCTGCACTAGGGCAATTTCCTTCATTTTTGTCCTCAGAAAAAAAAATGCTATAGGTTGGCACTGCAGCAATTATGGTTTAAATTGGCCATTTACCTTTTGATGGAAAATCAAGGAAGGACTGAACCGAGATTATGCCCCCTGATTTTGACAGGCCTCATCAGCTTGGTTTCTTGCCACACACTTGTTTCGATGAGTCCTGCAGCTGCTGTTGATCTTGGGCATAACAGTGGCTGTCCCAAGGTTGCTCAGGGAACAGACATGTGGGGGCTGGTGTACATGAGGTTTCCCTAGTGGCCAAAATCTGACCCTTTCTTCACTAGGCAGGCCTACACCCTCTTCCTCCGGAGGTGATGAAATTCCTGCTATGGATAATAATCATTTATTGCAATCTTGTCCCTTGCTGGCTGGCAACAGATAGTCTTCTTCAGTAGATAGCCGTGTAGAGGTGGGTGGTAAGCAGAAATTTAAGAGGCCAGTTTTGCTTAGGATTTAAAGTGACAACCCTGTTTCAGTGAGAAGTGTGCTTAGTATAACAACCTAGGACAGCAGTGTGATGACACACTTGGTAGGAAGTAAAAGGGGGCTACCAAGTAAATGTGCAATAACATGGAGTGTCAGATACGACTTTCACCTGCTTACATTCACCTACATTCAGTCCCTGGGGCTGAATCATGGAAGCAGTGGGTAAGATCTTGCTGGATGCTAATGGAAGGAAAGACCATTGCATCTAATTGCATGTTCTCTCTTGGCATTTCCAGGCAGCCTTTCTGATACTTCAATGCCTCAAAATTTTTCTGGCCCTGGAAATCCAATGACTGGGAAGTTCAGCCTCTTGAGTTTCTGCCTCCCCTTCTGTCTCTAAACAGGTATCTACCTCCTCCTTTTTTTTCAGGAAACATGCAAAATACATGTTTCCTGAATTTTAGGCAATCCGAAGTGAAAGCACAGCTGAACTAATCGGGAGCCTGGAAGTTTTGTTAGACGTTTCTGTGCCAGGTAGACTGGTTCATCTCACCTAGCCTGTCAGTTTCTATCTTTCACCCCTCTTTTTTGGTATGACATCTTAACTTTTGTGGAAGTGGGAATTCTTCTCATTTTGTTGGCCCAATAGTAAGGGATTCCCCAGGGTTTTGTGTAGGTGATTTATGCCCCTCCTTCCTTCAGTTGAGGAGACAGATATGGTGACAAAAGTGCTCTGCAAGTAGGTCGCTGGTCGCTAATAATAGGTGCACTCTGTATGTGCTCAGAGACTCTTAAGTGTTCTGATTCACACTGATATCCTACACTAAGCCTCCCTCTGGGTTCAAGTGCAAGTAATTCAAGCAATTAATTATGCTGACTCTTTAGTGAGCCCGTTTCTGGGCCAGTGCGTTGACCCTTTGCATTCTATAAAAACAGTCACTCTGTACAGCCAAAGCACTACATAAATGAACCATTAATTAATATTCATATATCTGGACTGGAAATTTAAGTCGGAACTAGTTACTGAAGCTAATCTTTCAAAAAAAAAAAAAAGGTTTGGGAGGGGCTGTCTTATCCGGATTGTCTCTTATCCCTCCGATAAGAATTCCAAAGAACTGATGTAAGAAAATCTAGTTTCCTGTCCCTAAACATCGCCTTCTCCTCCTGGACGGTGCAGGGATTGTTCCAGCCCACTCAGAAAGGTACCCACGTGGAGGAGGGTATATCTCTCAGCAGACTGCCTACTGGCCCATCTGATGTACTTTGCACCAAATTGGCAAAGGTAACCACAAACATAATTTTGCAGCGAAATGGGAAGAAGACAGACCGAGGCAATCAGCAGTGGGATTCGGATGTGAACTCGGTTTAATTCTGATCCCAGTCCTTGCCCTTTAAGTCTTTACCTTATTAACCAGGTGTACGACTTGCGGAAATCGATCAGAATACAGATACAGATAGGAGCACGCTGTCGGCCTGGCTCTGGCTGGTGGATTCTCCTAATGAAGAATATCAACCCGAGCCGATCAGCCTGAAGTCTATGAACCTATAAATGATGTCATTGGATCGCGGAAGAATAGGCAGGCAAGCCCTCGCCGAGCGCTCTAAAATTAGTCCTTGGCCGATGGTTCACCCCATAGACAGGGGGTTTATATTTACGTTCGGGGCCCTGAGCTGAGGAATCCGCACCACCAGCAAGGAGGCGAAGTAAATTCTCAAACTGATGATGCGGTGCTAATCGTAGGTTCAAACGCAGGTCAGCGAGGGAAAAAGAGGTTATTATGGAGAAAGGTAAATACACACACACACACCCCAAGGCCGCTGCAGGCTCTCCTCTCCTCTTTCAGAGACGCTTAAAACCATAGATCACAGCCGCGGGAGAAGGTATTGCTTCGAATCTTCAGCCGCCTTACATGGGGTCGAGAGGTGGAGCTGATCAGGCTTCACTTCGCACTGGTGCGCCAG